CAAAATATCTATATTATATATATATTTATAGATCTATATATTTATAAATCATTATAGCTAAACTAGCTACATTAGCTTCATGTTAGTCTCATTTTCTAATGTGGAAAAAAAAATGCTTCTCCTCCAAAAAAGGTACTCCTAAATACCCTTTGGGCGTGGCAAAGAGGTTTTACCTGCTTTTGTTAACACCTGTATCACACATATACCTGTGTGTATATCTCTAATAATTTTTATATTTGTATGTTATACATTATGATTATATATGTATTTACCGTCACTTCACTCTAATCTCTTAATTTGTTCTCTTTTTCATACTTATTAAAACAAAAAGACAAAGAAAAGTGGAATTACCTGTCAAGGCTGCGCGTAAGTCTGATATCTCTTCATTTCTTCTCTTTTGCTCAAAGCAAGTCACTGATACAATCAATGAATATAGAGAACCTATGTTATAAAATGAAATATAATTAGAATTTCATTAGATATACAATGAATATACATTTGGTATAAAGTAAGATATATATAAGCAAGATCATGTGTGGTTGTTACGCGTAAGAAAACCAATATAAAACCCAAATACTCAAAATGCATACATAGAAAAACTATTTTCATTAGATAAACTTATTTTCATCTTCTATATCTATAAAATGCTTGAAATAAAATCATTGTACATTATTTAAACAGCAAAAATGTCCAAAATACATAAATATAGATGATTCATAACACAATCTTGTAAAGTGTTATCCTCATCATTAAAATATTATACAGATATAAGCTGTAGATATTTTTTAAATGTGCTATGCTGTTTAAAAACTGTCTGGCAATCACACTAACAATAATAAATTAAACATAAGCAATTACTAGACAACCACTAGTTCTAATTCAGATGAACTACTACTCATTATATGAACTCATTTATATTTAATAAGCAAGCAGCAGCCATTATGTCTCTTAAAATTTGCTCACCTTTGAGTTTAGTCAATAAAAATCTATGATACTTGTAATGATTCAATACATTCTCGCTTCAAATATATTTAATGAACATTTTTAACCGTGCAGCAGAAATACACGTTTACAGTTATAGTTACTTACAAACGAGTCAAAGCGTTCTTTTCTCACTCCATTAAAAAAAGAAACATGTAGCTCTAATTTGTAGCGACTAGCAAATCACAGCATAATTAATCAAACACTTTTCCTAATCCAACATGAAACAATTGAACATAGATTCGAAAGATAGTATAGAACCACAGATGTCTATACTAGTACTAGATCGCTAACTTCGTCAAAAGAGCTGAGGCTGGCAGGATTTCCGGTTTTGGCCATGACACCCTACAACAAAATGGCGACAATGCGTGTGTAATGTGTATAGGCCCTCAAGGCTATCACACACAGTTTCCATAACATAGCCATAAGTGCGTCCATAAGGTTTTCACCAATCACGTTGCTGGATTTGCCCTCTCCATAATGCTCCATAATACAAAAAAACTTGGCGCTGCCTCACCGAACAACATGTTAACTTACATAATGTCAATTAATTACATGATGTCAATTAATTATGCTATTATTACATTATTACTCAGCACTTACTTTGTTGCTCGATATCGCTGTATCTCACGGCGTTCCATCTTTCTTGTAGACTACCCGTACGTAAATTACCACGTTCATTGTAAATTTGCGCCGTTACGAGTGCGCGAGGAAAACATAAGTTATCCGAGTTGGATATCGGTAAAATCAAGCGTTTACCAGCGATATCAAGCGCATTACCCGCACGACCCGTAGGAGGAGTGACACGGTAAACGTGGATATCGAATTCTTGCGCTACGTTCAAGCCCCCGGAGCTTTGAGCTAACGAACTCACGAGGTTCCAGATATTCTCGTGAGTCAAATCACGAGATGGTCGGAACGAAATACCCGCGGGCCCGTGTGAAAGATTCGGGGAATCGAAACTAAGTCTGATGTAATCACCGGGAACACAGGAAAGTACCGCGTACGCGTGAAGCTCGCGAAACACGTTTTCTAACCACGCGTAAACCTCCTCCCTCTCTGGTAATGATTGAAGGCGAAAACCAGCCTCTCTCCCTACTACACCGAAATTTCTAAACTCACGCACGTTTTCCCTTATTAAATCTAAATAATTAAAATTATCCCCGTTATGATTCACGATCTGTTCCGGCGCACCAACCTGATTCTCCGGAAACAGCGCTTCCTCATCTTCTTCTCTCTCCAGTCTCCCCTCTCCACGAACTCCTATCTCGTTGTCGTCGGTTTCTTCGGCTTGATTTTCCGCCGACTGCTGCTGCTGCTGCGAGTTTTCTTCCATTCCTCCCCCTCCTCCACCAAGCTGAACTGGAAAAATCGAAAACAAATGAATTAGTTTATCTTTAAAATTATTGTTTTTACACTTCCATACTCGAATTTTACGCGTTGTTAAAATTAAAAATAGTAATACATTTCATATTAAATTCTCTCACCTCTATACAGGATTATTCCCTTTCTTGTTCACCGTTGATCGTGTTGATCATTGATCACTAATATTCCGGCGAGTAAGAAATTTCCGGGAAAATAATTCCTAAAAATTTCGTCTGGTTAGAATAAAGGTATTCGAGTATGAAAGCGTTATCTATGCAAAAATGTATAATTGTATTTACCTCTTTCCCTCAAAAGTTCCTCTAGATTCTGTTCTTCCGTTCCACTCAGCTCCTCCCCCGTAT